GCAGTAGATAACAGGGGCTGCTGATAAGAGAATAAAGAGATAAAATAGTGTGATTTTTAGAGAGGAGAGACTGGCAGTGACTCTCTAACAGTATTCCTTGTACCTGGTAGTTATAAATAAGGCTGAAAGGAGCATGGAGGCATAATTACAAATTAACTCTGAAGGGATATGATGCTGTGAGAAGAAATGCTGTAGACATGATGAACTCACATCAAGAATCTTCTGGGTACAAGGTGCTCATGTAGGGCAACCCTGACTCTTTGATTACACCAGATCATCCATAAAAAGGTGCTGCTGTGGTTCATGATGAGCCTGAAGGAGCCAGCCCAGGTCTGAGGGGCTCAGGGCAGGGCAGGACAGGGAGGGATTGAGCACAGCTCCACCTCTGCCTTTACACCCTGGGATGTCCAGCAATGCCCCTGCAGGGATCCCTCTCCCACACTACAGGTGCTGTTCAGGCAGACAAAATTCCTCTTCACACATGGCTCAGGTACCTACACTGACTCTTCTGGACAAGTTTGATTGTTTTGTTCCTTCCCATCATCTCCCCAGAGAACTTTTACCTGCAAAGATTCTTCAGTAAATGAAATACCCAGGGAGGCAGAGACAGACGTTTAAAGGAAAACAGTTCCTACTGATGCTAAGAGGAGGATGGTAAAAAAGCCCCCTTTCAATAAAGTATTTCTTAGTGAGAATTCTCCTGTTTAAAATTCTTCATTTTCATATTGACAAAAACACACCAGTTGAAGATTTCTGGGAAAATTCTCATGTTTACAGGATACAGAATTCCCTATTTTTTTCTAAATCTAACAGTCACTCAAATCCCAACAGCTGAGATGGAAAGGCTTTGGCCTTCCCTGGATACTCTCCCTACTTCTTTGCTCTTTATGCTTGACAAGATGAAAACAAAAGCCTGTATGAGAGACTGAGACTGTGGATATGTGCAATTCATGGCTACAAGGGTCTCTCAGGAGAGAGATACTCCTCCCTCGGCCTCCCAGGGCAGCCAGGCACAGAGCTGCTGTCGTTATAAGCTGAGCTGGACATTTATTTTTTTACCTCCTGTGCCTGCAGTCAGTAAATGAACTGATGCTCCACCTGCTGGAAAGAACTACGTGAGCTCCAGAATTCAGCAAGTTCTTTCTGTGTGCAAAAGGCCATCACTGAAATCTCCAAACACCACCTCGTGTCAGCAGACAAACGGTAGCCAAGATTTAAGTTGTTTAAGATCCTGTTCCAAGGGAGCTGCTCAGTGTGCAGATCTTGTGGTGCCTTTGAAACCTTTTGTTTGGACTTTACAGAGTAAAGAGCAACAGGACAATTGTGACTCTATGGATAAACTGCTACTGAGCAATTCAAATTGCAGCTTTAGATTTGAAGTGAGGAAGAAATGATTTACTCAGAGAGTAGTAAGGCCAGAGGAGGCCATGGAAATGCTCCAAGGGCTGGAGCCCCTCTGCTCTGGAGCCAGGCTGGGAGTGCTGGGAATGCCCAGCCTGGAGAAGAACAGACTCCAGGGAGAGCTCAGAGCCCTTCCAGAGCCTGAAGGGGCTCCAGGAGAGCTGCAGAGGGACTGGGGAAGAGGGATTGAGGGACAGGACACAGGGAATGGCTGTAAGCTGAAGAAGGGTAGGTTTAGATTAAATATTAGGAAGAAATTCTCCACTCTAAAGGTGGTGAGACACTGGTGCCAGGTTGGACAGGGCTTGGAGCAACCTGGTCTGGTGGAAGGTGTCCCAGCCTGTGGCAGGGGGTGGAATGAGATGAGCTTTAAGGTTACTTCAGCCCAAACCATTCCATGATTCTGATGCCAAGTAACACTTTTACAGAGTTTGATCTTGGTTAACTTGTTTGGGGCAATAATATAAAATGAAGCTGAAAAGCTGCTGCACTGTTTCGTTTCCTCTCATTTCTACTAACCTTACTGTGCTCTGAATTTTTCCAATGGTAACATAAAAGAAGCAAAAAAATAAAAACCCCTGAATGAATTCAAGAGTGTAAAACATCTGCTGGGGGCTGCCAATAGTACACATACACCAAGTTAAAATAGGAATTGGGAAAAAATAAAGCCTCAAGGTAGAAATGCATCTGGCAAGATCAAAGTCAGACAGCTCGTACTACACTCTTACAAGGAAAGTTCTTTTATGAGTTATGTTATGATTTACAGCGGCCTTTGTTTCATTAAACTCAAACACAGATGCTTCAGATCCATCTACAAGGATGCCTGGAAGAAACCTCCTGACCCTCAGGCAGCCTGAGCCACTGCAGTGGCTGCTCTGTGTGTGCCACATAAATAATGATGAGAGGGGCAGCTCCAATCTCTGCTCCCCAGGACCCGAGGGAACGGCTGGAGCTGGGCCAGGGGAGGTCTGGGCTGGATACAGGGAAAGGTTCTTCCCCTGAGGGAGCTGGCACTGCCCAGGCTCCCCAGGGAATGCCAGGGATGCCATTGTTGGGGGGTCTGGGCAGGCACAGGGGCTGCACTGGGTGATCCTTGGGGGTCCCATCCAGCTCAGAATATGCTATGATTTCTATGGTTCCAGAACTCTGAAAATAAAATAGTAATAAACATATCTCTGACACAGAACATTAGTCTGACAGTTAACAAACATTTCCCAATCCAGAAGAAGCCAAGAATGTCAGAACCATCCCCGATGAATTGGGATTTGCAAGGAAGATTGCTGTTAGAAAAGCAAGAGAACTGCTGGGAAATGATTACTTTCCATCTCACTACAGCCAAATACTTGAGAATACAGAAGCAGAATCTCTTCCCTTCCCAAAAAATAACCACTTTAATAAATAACAAATTGTTTCATTTTGTCTGTTCAGTTTTAAGTTTCTAGGGAGTAGCTGAGTGATATTTTCAAATGCATTTCGATAACCACAGAAGCTGTAATTTCAGAGACAGATTATTCTCTTATCTAACTAAAACTTCTAAGGACAACACCAAAGAATTTCCTCTGTTGTAGTTCTTCTCAGCAGCAAAACTAGTGAAAGATTCGCTAATGCCCAAAGGGAAGAACTGCAGACAGTTCAGATCCAAATTTTGTGATGTTTGACAGTGCTAATGAGTGATAATGAGCAACACTTGAGATCACACAGAAATGACTAATATTCTAGATATCAAACCCCTCCTTTATGATTTAGTCCAGATCACTTTTTCAAGCCATGGATAACTGTATGCCAGAAGACATACAGTCATGCTTTGCCTGACATCCACACAAAGCAGAGATGGAAAAAGGATGTGCACTGAGCCCATCTCCACTGCAGAGCTCACACCATTGAGGAGAGCTGCTTATTTCCCATCAGCAGCCTCAGGAAAATGAGTCAGCTAAGAGACTTATTCCTCAACATCTTATTTCCAACAGCCAAAGATAGTCCTGTGTGTGTGTCTGAGAGCCCACCTCCAGTGCTGTGTCCAGCTCTGGGGCTCCCAGCATCACAAGGATGGAGAGCAGGAGAGAGTCCAGCAGGAGAGAGTCCAGGAGACCATGGAAATGCTCCAGGGCTGGAGCCCCTCTGCTCTGGAGCCAGGCTGGAGAGATGGGGGTGCTCACCTGGAGAGGGAAAGGCTCCAGGGAGAGCTCAGAGCCCTGCCAGGGCCTGAAGGGGCTCCAGGAGAGCTGGAGAGGGACTGGGGACAAGGCATGGAGGGACAGGACAAGGGGAATGGCTTCTCACTGGCACAGGGCAGCATTAAATGGGATATTGGGATTAAATTCTTCCCTGTGAGGGTGGGCAGGCCCTGGCTGTGGCTGCCCCTGGATCCCTGGCAGTGCCCAAGGCCAGGCTGGACAGGGTTTGGAGCACCCTGGGACAGTGGGAGGTGTTCTGCCCATGGCAGGGACTGGAAACAGCTGCTCCCTAAAGTCCCCTCCAACTCAAACCATTTGTGACCTGCAAAGGACAGAATGAAGCAGTAAAAAGGCCTAAGACACTCAACTACTTGTCCCAAACTATTCTTTTCCTAAGGTGAAAATAATAATTGAAAGCATAAGCAAGCAAAGGTATAAAAATGTCACAACAGAAAATAAGTAAAGCTACTATTTCTTATTTACAAACTTACAAAACATTGTTCAAGGAACATTAAAATTATCAGGATAGATATAACCTGTAAATACCCAGATTACCAATGCTTCTGTAAGAATCACCACTAAATATTTACACTTCCTGAAGATTCATTATAGCTACCAAAGAAACACAAAGTGGGAAAAAAACAAACCAGAGGAAGACCCCACAGCTCTGAGCACGTGAACAAACAGTAAAATCGTTTACAAGTGCATGCCAGAAATGGCACATTGTGTCAGAATATGAGTAAATAGCCAGGGATTACAAGTGATCCTCAAATAGGAGGATATTACGAGTCAGAATACGAGCAATAGCAAGGATCAGAATTTTTAAATGGCATTTTAAAAACGAGAATTTCAAAATTGAATTTAAAATGGGAATCTAAAAATGGCATTTTGAAATGAAATTTCAATATGGCATTTTAAAATGAAATTTCAAAATGGCATTTTAAACCAAAGTTTTCAAAAGTAATTTTAAAACTAAATTCTAACATGGCATTTGAAAACGAAATTTGAAAATGGCATTTTTAAAGCAAAATTTTAAAATGGCATTTAAAACCAGAATTTTAAAATAGCATTTAAAACCAGAATTTTAAAATGGCATTCTAAATGAAATTTTAAAATGGCATTTTAAAATAGAATTTTTAAATGGCATTTTAAAACAGAATTTTAAAATGGGAATTTTTAAATGGCATTTTAAACCAAAATTTTCCAATGGCATTTTAAAGGAAAATTTTTAAATAGCATTTTAAACCAAAATTTTTAAATGGCATTTTAAAGCAAAATTTTTTAAATGGCATTTTAAACCAGAATTTTAAAATGCCATTTAAAACCAGAATTTTAAAACGCCATTTCAAGCTAGAATTTTAAAACTAGACCAGAATTTTCGTGTGGCATTACTTCACCACCCCCAGCAGCGGGTACCGCTCTCACCTGGCTGCGCCTTGCCGGGATGCTGCTGTGCTGCTGCTCCCTGCTGAGGAGGAGGAGGAGGAGGAGGAGGGCTGGCTCCCGCTGCTGCTGCCGTGCCCGGCGCCGGGCCGGGGGCACCGAGAGCCCCGGCGGGCAGAGGCTGCCCCCGCTTTAGGAGCTGCTTCTGTTCCTGCTGGCGGAAGCGGGGAGGCACCTCGCGGGGCAGGTATCGGGACGCCGCAGGCTGCTGCCCGTTGGCAGACGCGCGCTTGCCATTGCTGCTGTTGGTGAGAGTGCTGGTGGAAGTACTGGTACCGGTACCGGCAGGTTGGGGCTGGCTTAAACTGGTCTTAATAGGTTCTGGCACTAGGGTAGAAGAAAATAATCGTCATTGGTTTGGGATCTGGAAAGTTATCGGGGGTTTTTTTAACTGTAACGGGTAAACTGATGGTTTGCAGGCACTGAGGAGTTGGCGGTGTGTTACTTTTTGTGTAGGTTTACTTTCTGTGGTGGTACTGGAAGCTTTTATACCCTACTGAAACAAATCATCTGTATGGTTTAAAACAGGGAGGAGGACAAAAGAAAGCTTTGACAATTCAGTATTGAACTGAATGCTCATTTCTGCTGCACCCACCTTAAGTCCCCACTGCCTTTACAGTTCAGCAGTTTTGGGGGCGACCTTGCCAATATTAACATCAAATCCCAGGGCCTACAGCCATGAAAACAAACATGTTCAGGCTCCTAATAAGCTCCCAAAAAAACAAGCTAAAAGACCTGATCCACCAGCTTATTCACAAACTTTGGGTTTCTTGTGGTATTCATCCAAACCTTTGCATCAAACACTTAGGACATGCCAGCCACCAACATCTGCACTCCAGGCACAGATGTGATACCTCCCACACTAAGCAGCCTGCAGCCAGGCCACCCTGGAATGTGCCTGCACGCCTGGCACCAGTGACCAGCAGTGCCAGGTCCTTTGGGACAGGCAGGAGGGAGTGGGCATGGTGCTGGGCATGGCAGCCCTGGCTCAGCTCACCTGGCAGCAGCTGCCAGAGCTCTTCCGTCACCCAGAGAAACTCTTGGAGCTTCTGGGATGAACAGAAGCAAGCACTGCTCCAGCTCATCACAAGCCACATCCAACCAGTGCAAAATTGCAGCTCGTTCAGTCACAGAATATGCTGAGTGGGAAGGGACACACAGTGCTGGCTCACACAGGACCCTCCCAGGAGTGCCACCTTGTGCCCAAGGACTGTTCAAACACAGCCTGAACTCTGTCACTGCCACTACAAACCCACAGTCAGCTTCTCCAGGCTCTGACACACCTAGAAAACAACTACTTCTACAGCTGCAGCAGTGAACAGCGCCAAGGGAATGCCGAGGGTGGCTTCAAAACAAGCAGGGACTTGACCAACCAAATATGTGCCAAAACGTCTGACAGAACCATCGGCACTTTGTTTTGGAAACCTAAATAATTTCACCTGTGTTTCTGTCTGAACAAAAAAGGAAATAAAAAAAATTGAAGTACCACTAGTACCTGAAGAGCAGAGAACAAACCTTCCTTAGCTCTTCAAAGTACACAATCACCTTTGGAAACAAACAGTTTATCCTTACTCTGAAATTTTAAAAGTAGATAGAAAGTATTGTGGAATGCAGAGTAATTATTTTCAAATACCAAATCTGCATATGCATGTGAAAACTATTCTGTTTCCACAATACAAATAGATCATTCACCTGATAGAAAGTAAGTCTGACTTTCATTGTAGTGTGTTTATTTTAGCTCCTATTGCTTCTGCTACTACTGGTACAGCAATGTAAGCATTTACCTCTACCACCATCACAGAGATGCAAACATTTACAAACAGTGAGATCTGAAGGACTCGGGATTTCTGCAAAGTCATTTACCACAAGGCTCACCCAGAGCACTGCAGACACCGGCTGATCACCAAAAATAACCCAGCATGGCAGCCAGGGAGCTCCTCCAGCTCGGCTGCCAGAGCAGGCACCCCCTGGTGCCAGCAGATCAGAGGGAATGCCAGGGAAGAGAGGAGAAGGACAAGAGAATGGAAACCACTCGCTGGCATAATGCCAGCAGAGCTGGGATTTGTCTGGCCCCAAGATTTTCATGAGGAATATTAATTAATTGGAAACATATTTTAGACAGCAAGACGGGCAGCTGTTTAAAAAGCATTATATTCTCAATATTGTGTATATATAAATCACATCTGATATTTATAAAGAGGTGTGCATATAGATATATATTTTAAATCACTAATGCAAGTCCTAGAATAGACAACACCTTTCACTTTATTGTAAACAAATGTGTTTCATCACAAAGGTGAGGCCAGAGAAACCCATTTTCCCAGTGTTAGAGACAATGTTCCTCTACATATCTGAATCACAAATGAGAGAAAAGAACAAAGAAAATCAAAATATCACTGTGCTTTAGAATTAAAATATTTCTGCATATTCATGCTACTGTTTTTTCTCTAATCAACACAGCAAAGTAATTTTTATTTTGTACATCAAAATCTCTTTAAAGAGTATCTAAATGGAAGCTCTTGCAAGAATCCTATGTCTGCAAATCATGGTAGCTGGAAAAGAACTGTTTAATTCCAAAATGACAGGGATAAAGCAAGAAGAGTGAACGACATCACACAAATGGGCTTGAGCCCTAAATTCCAGCTTCACACCGGGCTGGAATTTAGACTTCAAACACAGCAACAATACTTAGAGAATACATATTACAAAGACAATATGAGTGTGCTCTAAAAGCCATCCTCAGCAATGTTTAACCAGCAATTTTCACTTGATATGCACTGTGACAAATACCAAATGTTCCAAGTGTCTGCCCTGGATGTCCTAATTCTGCATTGCTGTGTGATATTGGCAATAACAGCATCTTTCTAAAGCCTTGAGCCTTTCCCCTCCCTGCAGGGCTGCACGCTGAGATGATGGGTGCCCCTTGCAGCACCCACCAAGGGCTCTCCCCTCTGTGGGCACCAGGGCAGAGCAGCAGAGCCTCTCATCAGCCCCAGGAGCAGCCTGCCCACCCTTCCACCTGCAAGGAATCCACTGGCACTGCTAATGGCATGTGGGCAGCTGCTGGAAAGCCAGGAATTAAAACACAGAATTTAGCAATTTTATGGCTAAATTTGCCTGAATGCGAAAAATGTTGTTTAAATAGTGTGGGGGAAAGGATTTAACAGCCAGTGGTTTTCATAACCAGCACGTGATTAAAGAGCTAAAGCAAAAACATTTAAGTGGAAAGGCTCTTGCAAAAATACAATTAAAGGCGTAAAATGAAAGCCTTGAGATTGCTTGCTCTTAAGATGTTTGTGATGGGTATCTGCTTACTCTCCATTCCGAGCTGTACACACACTAAACAATGAGCTTGCTTGTAATAATTATCAGTACTTAATGGTATCTAAACTTCTTAATCCAATTTTACCCAAACAAATCCAATAATTACTCCATATGCTTTTTGATGATTACAATCTCGGGAATCCCAACTGCATAAAAAAGTGTTACGAGCAATTGTAGGTGGATTTTATTAATATAATGAATAGGATCAGTCTAACAGATTTCAATTACAACAATAGCTTTTAAGTACATTTCTATGACATAAGGAAAGAACATGCATAAATGAAAGAAACTGGTTAAGCCACATAATACTGATTTATGGCAGCTTTTTCCTTTCATTCACCTCATTAACATTTCTCTGTATTTCAGAATCCCCCACTCCAGCTCTATAAAACTTGCATTTCTAAAGCCTTCGAGGACCAGACATTCCAGAAGAGAAACAGTTAAACCCAGAAATGCATTCTTGGCTGCTACTGTGACAGGATTTATTTACAGCTTCTATTAAACACAGCAGCTCCATTACAAAGTGCTGGATGTGAGGAGAATTTTTGATTATACAATGCCAATGCCTCACTGCGTTAAACATATCATGCCAGTGTATTATTTTTTTCCTTCAGCAATTCGTTCAGGTCATTGTTTGATGGGTTTATGAATTCATTACAGGAAACAGATGGATCCCATAATTCAGAGCTATTCTCCCAGCCAATCATTTGGGCAATTTTTTTCCTCATCTTGCTCCCCCCTCCAAATCAACCTTAATGAAGCCACTTCCTCCACGGCCAGTTCCCTGCACACACACACACACTGCAGCACATCCCTGCTGCTTTAACCTCCCTCCAAACACTAAAAGGCTTTCCAAATGAAGCTGAGCAGAGCACAATCCCACAGACACCCCCTCCGAGGTCACACAGAGCACCAGGAACTTACCCAAGTCGGGGGAAGGCAGCCACCAAACACAGCATTGGAGTGGGCAAAACCACAAGTCCTCATTAGTGAGAAACCCATTTTTATTTGCTCACACAAGTCTGTTGCTGGGAAAATATTCTTGCTTCCCCCCCCAATCTACTTTCAAAGGCTGAATTTTCATTTAGCAAATTACCTCCTTTGTCTCCTAAGTGCTTGGATTTGCTATCCACAGTGACATCTGCTGGCAACAGCAAAGGTGCTCAGAACTATTGCATAAAGCCCACTTCTAATGTTTTTACACATAAAATGCCAAATTTTCTGCCTGGATCATCCCTTCCCTCAAAATCATGAACTTCTGGGGAGAAAAAAACTGCCGTCTAATGCCAAGATAATCCCAAAACTTATAATAGCTTTAATAATGTTAATAACCAGAAGCTGCTGTTTGACATCAACGCCCACATTGAATAATAAAAGTAAAAACACACAAGTTATTGTGGCTTTAGAACTTTGTCGCCATTTATTTAAAGAAATGCCTTGACCTTGGGCCAATTCCTGATGATATCATTTATCTAATACCCAGAACAAATAAAGCCTTTTCTATGTTTAACTTCATTTCCCCCCTCACAGTTGACCATAGTGCAGCTTCTTCTTCTGCTTCCTCTTCCAGACATTTCCTCTCCACTTTCTTCTCTTGTCCTTTACAACATTTCCTTCCTTAGTCTTTCACCACCCCAGTTTGAAAATCTCATCTAAAACCAACTTCTCCTGACAGAATTCTCACTTCTACCAACTTGGACCTTCTACACAGAACTTGATTTTTTTTTAAATTTTATTTTGCCAGGCAACTGGAATTCAGAGTAGGAATTAAAAGAAAGCTGCAAAGTTCATGGAAAACTTCTAAATCAGTTACTGGAATTTCTCAACAATAGAAGGTCTTATGTTCTAACTGCTGGCTTCATGCAAAGGTATGAAATAGAGAAGCATGGAGGATGTCATTCCCCACCTCCACTTTGACTCTACAGCCATGTATCCACAAATCCAGCCGGCCCCAGACACTCCTTTGTTCCTCCCTCCCCCCAGACCTGCCATTCACCTCAGCT